TTTTTTTTTTTTTTTTGGTACTAGAGATCAAACTTAGGACATTGAGCTTACGAGGCAGGTGGTAGCACCACTGAGCTAAATCCTGAGCCCTAAGCCTGACTGTTAATTCCGATTGTTGATAATATGGCCTTAGGGTTCCACTGTTGAATTTTGGCTATATTTACAAAATGTTTAAAATTTGTAATTGGTCTTCATCATTAAGAAATTTAAGTAAATTTATTACTGTGCTTACGTAGTCAACTTTTACCAGTTAGGATTTCTGCTGTAGAACACCAAGGATAATTTCTAATTGGAATATTACTACTGGTAAAGCTTTTGAAAGTAGTTTAATGACCATTATGTTGTTGATTTGCTGAGCCAATGTTTTCTGAATAGAGTGAAAAATTGCATTTTAGCTTATTTTTTCTAAATTGCTGCAATTTAATGGTAAATAATGTTCAACAGGTTAGTAATACAGTGAACATGGCATGTCTTAGAATTTATTTATTTATTTATTTATTTATTTATTTATTTATTTATTTTTGTATCTGGGATCAAACTTGGGACCTTGTGCTTGTGAGGCAGGTGGCAGCACCACTGAGCTAAATCCCCTGCCCATCCTAGAATATTTTGATTGTTTCGTGTTTTGATATTGATTACATGTTTATATTTAACTTCTAGATCCAGGGAAATAGCCTTTGAAGCCCAAACTTCACGTTACTTAAATGAATTTGAAGAGCTTGCCATCTTAGGAAAAGGTGGTTATGGAAGAGTATATAAGGTTGTTTTTCACTTATTCATTTTGACCTTCTATAAATATTTTGAGAAGTTGTTTTCATTATTATGTATAAAGTGTTCAGAGAATACCTAGACATTGTGCATATTTACTTTTCATTATATCATTTATAGAAAAGTGGACATGTTTTAATTTTTTCCTAACCATGTTGGTCCTTTAGGTGGATTCTTGGAATTTTACATTTTTGTGCTGTAGTTTATTCTTATTTAAAATGTTACCAAGAAAAGTTGTGCTACTGTGTTTTTCAGCTTATATTGTTACAGTTTTGCTTTTTTTCCTGTTCTTCAGACTTGGAGCCTCTGTGAGTTAGATTTTGTACAGTTGGCAGAGCTGCTGGTCCAGCTAATTAGAGCTGATGGAAGACATCGTTTTAGCTTAATTTGATCTTTTTGACAAGTTTGGATTAAGTAAGCTCAGATTAAATGAACTTTATTTAGTTAGAACTTAATGGAATTTAATACTTTGCCTTTTTTTCTTTTTAGGTCAGGAATAAATTAGATGGTCAGCATTATGCAATTAAGAAAATCCTGATTAAGGGTGCAACTAAAACAGATTGCATGAAGGTATGAGTTTTAGAATGATTTGAGCTGAGTATGGTGGCAGTCAGCAGTAGTTCCAGCTAATGGGGAAGCTAAATCAAAGTCACCTGAGCCCAGTAGTTTTGAGACCAGGTTGGGTAACATATTATAGACCTGTTGAAAGCAAAAAACAAAGAAAGATTTATTTATTTAGAATAATTGCATATTTGGTAACTTTGAAAGAGCTGTATATGTACTTGTGTATATTTGGCAAATAATAGTATAAATTGAGTTTACTAAGAATCAGTTTATAGTAAAGTACAATAAGTGTCTAAACTGAAGTTTTAACTTGATATAATTTTATGGCATTGCAGACTGGTCATATTGCATTGATTGTCCTTACTGGAGACATTTAAGTTTTTAGGGTAACCATTTACTTTATTGCCCATACTAGAATAAAAAAGTTATTATTTTTTTTTTTTTGGTACCGGGGATCAAACTTAGGCCCTTGTGCTTGCAAGGCAGGCAGCAGAACCACTGAGCCAAATCCCTGGCCCAAAGTTATTTTGATTTATACTTTTGTTAGTTCATATTAATTGTACAAAATATTGGGTTCCATTGTGGCGTTATCATACCTGCATGTAATATTTTTATCATCTCTATCCCTCCTATTATCTTCCCTTATATCTCCCCCCAAAAATTAATTTTTTAAGTACATGACTAATGTACAATAGAGTTTGTTACAGAAACTCAACAGCCGAGTTCAGGTCCAAGTCTGTTCCCTAAAATGCTGTGCAGCTATGGGCAAGTCGCCCTGTTGTCTCTCCCACTTGGTCTCCCAGTCTTGAAATAGCCGTATTTTCACTTACACTTGGAGTAATGGAATCAAGTGAAAAAATGCTGATAAATGAGCCATAAAAATATAAAGTGCTATATAAATGTAAACTGCTTATTTTCTATAACAGCTGTTTGAAACTCTCACAAGAATATTCCCATTATTTTAACATAGTTTGGATTCCTTGTTCGGAGGGGTTACTATTTTGCTCTGGAACCAGAAATATTTGATATCGTGACCAAAAAAAATCATGTTACTCTTTTTCTTTAGGTGTTACGGGAAGTAAAGGTGTTGGCGGGTCTTCAGCACCCCAATATTGTAGGCTATCACACGGCATGGATAGAGCATGTTCATGTGGTTCAGCCCCAGGGTGAGTTGTTTTTAGTGATGCAAGTTGAACATCCCTCATGAAAATTCAAAATCCAGAAAGCTACAAACTCCAAAACTTTTGGAGGATTGTGGGAATGCTCAAATAATTGATTAGGTATACTCAGTGGCCTAAATGAATATTCCAGAATATGAAAAAAAAATCTAAAGTCAAACACTTCTGGTCACCGGCACTGTGGCTAGGAGATATGCAATCAGTCATGTGGCTGGCAAGCTTCCATGATGGGCCAATGTTAACCTGCCTTTCTTTTTGTATCTCCCATAGACCAGGCATGGCCTATACATTTTTAAAATGCTAAAAGGAATGAAATGAAGACTATTTTATGAAAATTATAAGAAATTCAAATTTCAGTGTCATCTAAATGAGGTTTAGTAGAACAGGCTTATTAATCCCTGAGTTGAGGCTGCAGCTTAGTTTCTTAAGGGTCCTGAAAACCTAAAATATTTACTATCAGGTCCTTCTATAGAAAATTTACTGACACCTGGTACAAACAGCTCTGTTTTTATAGTTCCTAAAATGTGATAGCTACTTGAATAAACTTGTATTATTATTATTTTTTAATACTGGGGATCAAATTTGGGATCTTATTCTTGCAAGGCAGGCGTGGTGCCACTGAGCTAAATTCCAAGCCCAACTTGTATTAATTTTTTACTTGTCTTGGTATTATAAATATATTTTAGCTGTCTTTTGACTATACATTGAAAAAATGGGCTGCTTGCAGATTTTTTTGTTATTTCTGTTCAACAGACAGAGTTCCTATTGAGTTGCCCTCTCTTGAAGTACTGTCTGACCAGGAAGACGACAGGTAGGTGGACTGGAGTTACTTCTTTCTTTCCTTTTTTTGGTACTGGGGATCGAACTTGGGACCTTGCACTTGTGAGGCAGGTGGTAGAACCACTGAATAGAGTTACTTCTGTATATTAGACATTGTACATTGTATCCTATCACTACAGTGACTTGCATTTGACTTTTGCTACGAGGAACTTGGAATGTTTCTTTCTTTTTCCTTGTTTTCATTCTAAATATTAAATTACTTCTCAGATGTGTCCTTCAGTGTTTTAGTTTTTGTGTTTTTTTTTGTATTGGGATTTGAACTCGGGTCCTTGTGCTTGTGAGGCAGGTGGTGGAACCACTGAGCTAAATCCCCAGCCTCCCTTCAGTGTTTTAAATAAAGATTGCAACTAGACATATTTGATACCATTTCTTTCTTTCTTTTTTTTGGTATCAGGGATCAAACTCAGGACCTTGCAAGGAAGGCAGTGGAACCACTGAGCTAAATCCCTGGCCCTGATACCATTTCTTTTAAGAGTTTGCCTATAAGGTTCATATAGTCTTTTTATTTTTGGAGATAAAATCTCACCTGTTATTCAGGCTCTCTTTGAACTCACTGTGTAGTTTAGGCTGATCTCAAACTCACGGTGATCCTCCTGACTCATTCTCCCAAGTGCTGGAATTATAGGTGTGTACCACTGGGCCTCCTTTTATGTAGTCTTGAAAGAACAGTTAAGTTACTCTTTATCTTCTTTTTACATTCACTTTTTTGGGTTTTTGAGATAGGTTTTCACTTTGTAGTCCAGGCTGGTCTTGAACTGGCTATATAACCCGGGCTGGCTTCAAATTTGCTATACTCTTGACTTAGCTTCATGTGTGTCCTTACTCTTTATTTTCCCTCCAGAGATAAATATGGTATAAATGGTGACGAAAGTAGCAGTTCATCCATTATCTTCACTGAGTTCACTTCAGAAAAAGAAAAACATGTTGGTGAACCTGACAGTGAAAAGCAGAATAATGAATTGGTGAACTACACCAACAATTTAGTCATAAGGAACAGCAGCAAATTTGAATCATCCATTGGGTTCCAAGAAAATGGCTTGGTTGATTTGTCTACTGGGCCAGTTATCAAGCATCAGCCCCTGCTCAGGCATAACTCAGAACTAGAAGGAAACTTCACATCCACTGAGGAATCTTCTGAAGAAAACTTAAACTTGTTTGGGAAGACAGAGGTAGAGTATTTTCCCAGAACCTAGTGATGTGATGCTTACCCATAGTCATTATATAAAGGAGTGTGACTGTGTGTGGCTTTTCCTTTTCCTCAGCTGACTTTCCCTAGTGCTCCTGTCTCTCTGGTGTGGCTGTTCTTCCCTGTGTTCAATCTCTTGGACTCAGCATGCTCTCTTTAACCATATGTGTGTATGTTTAGTTTTTCCCTTTCACTTAGTTAATGTTTACTAACACTTTTCTGACCTCCCTGCTGGGTCATTGCTCTTTAGATAGTCTTGAATGTGTGCCCCTGGAATTGGAAGCCTCATTTACATTCTGTTTGTGTTGTATGTTAGCATCATGCTATAAAAATATATTTATGCAAAAAAGGTTTTCTATTCTTGGAGCATGACTTTAGGAGAATCCTATAGGATAACCAGTCAGTTTCGTGATAGCCTTGTTGAGGATTAGGCTAATATGCTGATCAGACTCCCACCATACTTACCAGTTATAGCCCAGGTTGGTATCCTCCTTCCTCAGCCTCCCAAGTGCTGGGATTACAGGCATGCTCTATCACACCTGGCCTTAGGTACTTTCTTGTTTCTGGGACAAATTATCTGACATCCAGAAGTTAAAGGAGGAAAAATTTATTTTGGTTCACAGTTTGTAGATATATCAGTCCATAGTTGACTGGCTTTAAGGTAGAGCAGCATGGTAGAGGAGAAACAGTCCATGGCATGGTAGGCAGAAAGCAGCAGCCTTCCTTCTGCTTTCCCTGTTATTCCATCCAGGCTACAAGCCTAACTGTTAGTGCTATCCACACCCAGGATGGGTCTTCCCTTATAGTAAGTCCACCATCCACACCCAGAACTATGCTAAACCAGTCAGTGGACTAAGTCAGTATCCCACACCCATGATCTAGGCATTCCCACAAGCCCCACCTATGAGCATAAAAAGCTTTGGGAGACATTTTGATACAAGCCGTAATAGCAATATTGAGTATTTAAGAAATTCGAGCATTAACAAACTATCCATAATATCATGTTAGGATTTCAAAGCTGTGTATTACCATTTCTGTATATGCAACACAGAATTCTTGTCAAGGAGTTATGGGCATGTGTCTGTCTGTCTGTCTTTATTAACAAAACAAAACATCAGGTTCATCTGAATCTAAACAAGTTGAGTTTGGGGAACATTCAATCAGAATTGCTTTATTTCTCTGGTATTACATTGGAAAGTTTTTCTTTGATGCCTAAATAAATGAACTGCTGTAAGCTTAATGTTTCTCTCTTTTTCTTTCTTTTCTTTTTCTTTACTTTCTTCCTTTCTCCAGCCATCGCTTCCTTTCTACTGTGTTGGGGATTAAACCTAGGGCCTTATGTATACCAAGCAACCACTCTGCCACCAAGCAACATCCCAGCTCTTTGTAAAGAGTTCTTTTAAGACAACTCTTGACAAAGTTTCCCATGCTAGCCTAGAATTTGCAGTCTTTCAGCCATAGCATCAAGAAGGTGGAATAAGGAGGTGCTACTGAGTTCGGCATACCTTTGCTTTGGATAAGTTATTAGTGATATACAATTTAAAGCCAGCCACAATATATATACAGTGGTACCTTGCTTCACAAACTTAATTCTTTTTTTTGGTACCGGGGATTGAACTCGGGTCCTTGCACTTGCAAGGCAGGCCACCGAACCGCTAAGCTAAATCCCGGGCCCACAAACTTAATTCTTGTTATGATTTTGTTGCAGAATTTATTCCGTGATTCTTTTGCAACCAGAATTGTAGAGAGAAATTTGTGAACTGGGGTACCACTGTACTTAGAAGTATATTGATAGTTGTAGAATACCATATGGCAATCTTTGTTGTTTCATGTTGGCTTTAAAAAGTGTTTATGTAAGCTAGGTGGCATGGCACATGCTTATAATCCCAGGTGTCTAGAAAGCTGAGGCAGGAGGATCACAAGTTTGAGCCCAGCCCAGGCAATTTAGTGACTTAGAGAAACCTTGTTTTTTGTCTCAAAATAAAAAATAAATTGCTGGGGATGTAGCTCAGTGCCAAGGCCCTGGTTGAATCCTTAGTACCATAAAACAAAAACAAAGCAAAACATATTCATGTAATGAGACTCCAAACAGTTTTAAGACCAGTTCCTCAGTTTCTGCCATTCGACCTCTGCCTCCTTGTATCAAGATACACTGTCTTAATTATTGCTGTGCTTATCTGTTTCTTTCACTGGGCTTCTTGGTCAGGCCTGTGTTCTCAGCATTTGGCTGTGGTGTTAGCCTAGAGAAAGCAAGAGCGTATTTGTCAACCAAATGAATAATGTGAGTGAGCTGTGGAGATGGAAGCTCACTGTGTGTCTTCTTTAGGTGTCGTATCACCTGATGCTGCACATCCAGATGCAGCTGTGTGAGCTTTCCCTGTGGGACTGGATCACCGAGAGGAACCAGCGGGCCCAAGAGAGTGTGGATGAAGCTGCCTGTAAGTGCATTCTGTGTCTGTACATGATACAGTGCAGGATAAAAATGGGCAGTCTTCTCCATCTTATGTAGGAATGCTTCCAGTGGCTTTAAGTTTAAAAAAAAAAAACAAAAGAGAAAAACAACCCCCCCATTTGTTTTTTCAGCATTTTAGAAAACGTATTTATTTGGTAGCTGAATTTCTCTGTGATAGAATCTGTTGATATTTAAACAGTTATATAAATTTAGGCTAATGATTTTGAGTAGAAATGAATTTTTCTTTCCTTTGCTTTCCATTCCGTTCCGTTCCGCTCTGTTCCTTTCCGTTCCTTTCCTTTCCATTCCGAGACAGAGTTTCACTATGTATCCCAGGTTGGCCTGGAACACTCGAACTCATGATCCTCTTGGCTTAGCCTTGTAACTGCTGGGATTACAGAATGAGTCAGTCTGTTGCCTAGTTTTTTATTTATTAAGAGACAAAATTTAAATACTTATTTTTATTTTTTTAAGTCTGAAGCTATGACACTCATGAGAAAAAATAACCCTGTATGATCCAGGTTTCCCCAAATACCCCATGGTTTATATCCTTCTACAAATACTTTGTTAGCTAATATTTTAAGAATATACCACTGGCTCTCAGCCTTGGCTATGTATTACAATCACCAGGGAATTTTAAAAAAGATATCAGAGGGGGCTGGGAATTTAGCTCAGTGGTTCCACTGCCTGCCTTGCAAGTGCAAGGACTTGAGTTCGATCCCTGGTACCAAAAAAACCCCCCACAAAACAAAACACCCACACACACACAAAAAGATATCAGAGAAAGAACTTTGAAGAGCAAGTAAGAAGATGTTAAAATACAGGAACCCTGTCCTGCTCTCCACTGATTTTTCTGGAAGCTGGAAGCACAGACACTACAGCTGCAATGTCCCCTGTGGCTCAGAGTAGGAAATATTGAATAACACTGAAAGATCTTGAGACACAATTTAAGGAAATTGGTGCCAGTTTATGAAAAGATAACTGTGAAAGTTGAAGGGACCACTGTTTCAAAAGTAATTTTCAAATGGCAGATTACTTCTTGAATGAAGAACAAGAACCAGAACTACTGAAGAATGAGATAATCCAATCAGAGGGATTTGCGTGATACAGATGCTGAGCTAATCTTTGTTGGGATGGAACATGTAAATGAAGATTCTGAAATTGTCTTCCTCAAGGTGATTTCAAATTCAAAACAAGTTATTTAAAAGATCTTGAACAGTGTCACCCCCGGCTCATATTCAAAAAGAAGGAAAGGTCACCTCAGTCAAGACTGCTCATCTATCTCAACCTGCAGTTCATGTGACTCCAATAGTCAAAACAATGTCTATCATGCCAAATACTCCGTCTCAATGGAAATCAATAGATAGACCCATTACTACTGAATCTTAATCTAAACCTGCTTATAAAATGAGCTCACTACAAGTCATTCCTTCTCATGATTCAAAGCTGCTTTTCATTGCTGATAAAAACAGCAGAAATCCCAAAACGTATAAATTTAGGAATGAAATCCCAAGTGCACAATCTATAGCCATGACCCCTGTTTTTTTGTTTTTTTTTTTTTTCTATAAAATGAACACAAGTACTCCATCAAAAAGCATCTGCTTGTAAAGCTTTGTTCAGAATGGAATATCCTTTTCTTGGGCTTACACTAATGAAAATTCACCTTTTGCTTTCAGGGATCTGAACCCAGAAAATACCTCTGAAGGCCTGGTAAAAACAGATTTATCAAGTCCCAAAGCTCAAAATAGTATCTTTGATCCCAAGAAAGGAAGTCTTATTCTATTACATAGTGACTTTTACTGTGGACAACGTAAAGGAGGGGCAGTCAGAACAGATGACTCACTTAACCTTTAACCTGCTGATCGTGATACTGGGTCCAGCAGACCCATCCCTTACTTTTCTACTGTAAATTTGTACTTTAGCATAATAGTAGCCAGCCATGCATCTCATTACTTTTCTCTGAGGGGTACCAGAACCAATCTAGTGTTTCCTCACTTTGTATAACAGATAACAAGGTGTGTGCACCTGTGCAAAAGTGGCAAAACAGGATTTTTACTCACATACTCCTTCTGACTGGCTTTGCATATATTTACCCAAGCATCACAGAGCTCCAGTAGATGTGCACCACTCCAGGATTTGTTTAAATAAGTTTCTTTTAATGTTCTGGTAGAAGTAGCCCAATTCAGTACAATGACACATGAAAAATCAGATTTGCAAGTTTTGGAGGTCAAAAGTGAATCATCAGATTAGTCTTGCATGGATGATGAAGATGATCCATTATGGTAAAATACATGTTTTCATAACAGAAGAGTGGTGTAGGTAGATGATGATGATGATTACGATGATGATGACTTTGACCTTGGCCATGTGAGCCAAAGTTCCTGTGACAGTGAAAAGGAGCAAGAATAGACTGATACAGACACAGGGGATGCAGACTTCCTTGATTCAGATGACGAAGAAAACAGCAATGTGAGTACAAATTTGATTAGTTGAAATGTTGGGAAATGGCCATACAACCAAATGGAAGGATCCAATGTTAGAACTAGGTCTGAAAATATAGTGAGGGCCTTGGCAGGGTGAAACGCATTGGACAGAATGCCAGCCTTGCTGTTCAGCATTGGAATTTGTAGCAGAAGTACTGCAAGATGCTATGAAATACACAAAGGCTGAAATTCAAGTAAAACATTCTGTATGAGTCAATAGCCATATTAAAAATTTTATTTATTAAAAAATGTATTATGACAACTTCACTAGCTGAACTAAAAGCATTTCTGGGTCTGCAGTACTTAGCAGGGATTCTTATGGTAACTTCAGGAATGTAAAAGATTTATGGAAAAGCAGTGGGTCAAAATGTGCCATAAGCTGGGTGTGATGGTGCACGCCTGTAATACCAGCACTCAGGAGGCTGAGGCAGGAGGATTGCTGAATTGAGACCAGCCTGGGCTACATAATGAGTTCCAGGTCAGTCTCAACTACATAGTGAGACCCTGTCTCAAAAAACCGGGAAAAGTATGTATATATACTTTTTCATTAAGTTTATTGGTACTTTTTAGGTATACAGTACAGTTGCATTCACCATTGGGATGTTGTACCTTTACATGATGTATCTTGGTTCTTATATTTTCCCCATATCTCTGCCCTCCCTTCACCCCCTCCACCCTTCCTTATTTACAGACTTTGTTTCCATTCTTTCCTTTTCTCATTTTTTCTTTTCCCTTCTTTCCTTTCCCTTACCCTTCCCATTTCCCCTACACCTTTAGCCCTTTTCTTCATATTTCACATTATCGATCATACAATTTGAACCTTATTTTACACTTTTAGTTTTTCATACCAGAGAAACTATTTGGTATTTACACATGTGTGTCCTATTTATTTCACTTAAGAGTATGGCCTCAATATGCATCCATTTAGCTATAAATGACTCTTGTTTCTCATTCTTTATGGCTGAATAGTACTCCATTTTATAGGAAAAATCCATGTCTTCTTTATCCAGTCTCCAGTTGATGGGCATTTGGGCTGTTTCCAAGTTTTAGCTATTGCAGACTGTGCCGCTATAAACATGGGTTTGCATATATCACTGGGTATGATTCTTTTAAATTCTTTTGGAAAGAAGAGAGGAGAGGAATAGGAGGGTCAAATGGAACCTCTAATCCTAGTTTTTTGTAGTATCTCCATATTGATTTCCACGGTGGCTGCACCAGTCTGCACTCCCACCAACAGTGAAGAAGGGTTCTTATCACCCCACAACCCTGCCAGCATTTGTTATTGGTTGATTTCTTGATAGCAGCCATTCTTTCTGGGGTGGGGTGGAACCTCAGTGTTGTTTTCATCTGCATCTCTGGAATGACCAGTGATGTGGAACATTTTTTCATATGTTTATTTGCTGCTTTTACTTGTTTGTCTGAGAAGTGTTTGTTCATTTTAGATGCCCATTTTTGAATTTTGTCTTTATTTTGGGGGGTCTGATTTTTTGAGTTCTTTATATATTCTAGATAGTAGACCTTTGTCTGAGGAACAGCTGGTAAATTTTTTCCCCACATCATAGGTTGTCTCTTTATCTCTGTTGGTGGTTTCTCTTGTAGTGCAGAAGCTTTTTAATAACATGAGATTCGAGTTTATGGCATAAAAATTTATGCCTTTGTAAATGTGAAGACTTATTATGCTTTCAATTTAGACATTTATCCAGGAATTCAGCCGTCAGGTCCTTATTCATATAGTAATAAACTGAATGATATTGTGAACAGATTCGTTGCTCCCGTCTGCCAAACTAATTGGAATATGACATTCAACAGTTGGTTCACCAGTTTCCAATTGAGGTTATATTTGCTAACAAAGCACAAGGAACTATACATGGGAACAAAGCAGGAATTCTAAACGAAATGTTGCGCTTTCAAAATAGAGAATTGTGTAGTACAATCTTTGGATTTCAGAAAAATTTATACTGGCCTTGTATATGGTGAAGAAAACAAACTGGTGCTGCTGATGTAAGCATTGAACCATGATGAAAATATTAATTGGGAATCCGTGACAAAATGGAACCTGAAATGGAAACTTTCTACAACAAAACCAAAGGTGGAGTAGGTGTTGTTGATGTCACTGGAAACACAAAGCATTGGCTGGTGATTGTGATTTACTTAGTTCTAAATACAAAAATAACCAGTGTAAAATATCATGGAGAAATTTTGTAGAGGATTGGGACTGGAATTCATAAGAGATCATTTACTGCAAAGGAAAAATAAAATGTTTTTGTCCATGGAACTATGCAAAAAAAAAATTGTGGAGCACACTGGTGAGCTGACAGGTGTACAGAGAGGCACAGCCTCACAAAGACCTGCTACTACAATAGGAAAACCAAGAAGATGTCAACTGTATCCTAGAAGAAAGGACAGGAAAACAAAACATATGTGTTATCAGTGTGAGAGGTATGCATGGAACATGCAGTTGTGTTCAGGCTGTCTTGGGTGTGACATTGAAGCGATGATTATTTCTGTGGTAGACTTTTATGTTTCTTTTTTTTGGTACCAGGGATTGAACTCAGGTCTTTGCGCTTGCAAGGCAGGCCACGAAACCACTGAGCTAAATCCCCGGCCCTGTGTTTCTATTGTAGTTCACATTGGTTTTTATTTCTGATGTTATCTCTTAGATCTTGTAAGTAGGTAAACAACTGATATAAAAATATTGATGTCTATTCTAAGCATTCATTACATATTTGATATTTTAGTTTATTGATCTTATTTTCCTGCTAAGTGCATGTTGTACAATATAGTAGGAAGCTCCTGACAAAACAGAGAAGAGAGGTGACAAGACTGCCACATAGGAAAGGAAAACTAAGCGCATATGCCCTCAGTGTAAGTGAGATGTGTGCATGGAGCATGCAGTTGTCACATGTGAACCCAGCTGAAACAAAGCTTATTTTTATTGTAGAGTTCTATTGGTACTTTCATTGTAGTAAAGGAATTTATTTCTGATGTTATATTTTAGGTTTTGTAAGCAAGTACCCAGCTGATGTGAAAATGTTGATATCTGTTCTAATGCACAATACATATTAAGAATTTAAAGAGCCTGGGATTTAGCTCAGCGGTTCAGTGGCCTGCCTTGCAAACGCAAGGACCCGAGTTCAATCCCCAGTACCACCCCCCAAAAAAAAAGAATTTAATACTTTATTTTATTGATATTTTATGTTCCTTTTAACAACACCCTATATAATATAGTAAGAAACTCCTGAAAAACAACCAGATCAATGAGATGTCAGGTAAGTCCTACAAAAAGCCCAGGAAAGCAAAGCACATGTGCTGTCAGTGTAAGCAATAATGTATGTGTGGACTGTGCTATTGTCATATGTGTAGACTGCCTTAGGGATGAAAATTGAAGTGAAGATTATTTTTTTTGTAAAGTGCTATTGGTATTTTCATTGTAGTTCGTATAAGCATTTGTGTTCTTTCTTAGACTTTGTACACTAGAAAAGAGTTGATACTGAAAATTGTGATGCTTTATATAAATACTCGTAAATATTTTAAAAATTCAATACTTAATTTTTGGGATATTTTTCTTCTTTTAAGTATTCATTATTTAATAAAGTTCATAAAATTAAATTTAATAATTCACCAATAGAAATATTCTAAAGATTAAATCCATGTTTATGTGCCTTTATGACAAATTTAGTATTATTCTATGCAGGTTAAATGTCTCAACTGCTTGAAATTCTGAAAAATATCAAGTTTATGAAGCACCATTTAGAACTAGAGAAGCAGAGGGGTGACAGCTGGGAAAACCACAGTACTTGCCAGCACTACCATCAGCAGTTTCCAACTCCATTCCAGCTGCAGTGTCACATTGACAGGGTGCACACTACCCAGGAGCCCTCTGCTATCTGTAAAATCTGTGGATTGCCATTTGAAATGGATCAGGTTCTCTTACAACACGAGAAGGACAATCATGAGCCTGGGGAAATGCCCTATGTGTGCCATGTTTGCAGTTACAGATCATTGGCCTTTGCTGATGTGGAAACACATTTTAGAACATGCCATGAAAACGCTAAGGATTTGCTTTGTGTTTTGTCTTAAAATTTTCAAATCTGAAAATCCATATATGCATCATAGTTGGAAGTACTGAAGCAAGAAGAAAGTCTTTCCTTTTTACAAGTGCTGGCTACACTTTTTTTTTTTTTTTGGTGCTGGGGATCGAACTCAGGTCTTTGTGCTTACAAGGCAGGTGGCAGAACCACTGAGCTAAATCCCCCACCCACAGTTTTTAAGTTTGAAGGAGGAAATAGAGCACAAACCCAAGAATCATCAAACTTTAAAATTCCCAGAGTTACTGGAAGGGTTGCCTCCTAAAACAAAGGTTGTTACTCAAACTTCAATTCACGTATCAAGAGGTACATAATCAGTTATTGTGAGCAATATTGACCCTTGCCTGTCACGTGTGAAAACCAAAAAGAAGACTCCACGAACTTTAGATATTCTGGACTTCTTGGCAGCCTGAGTGAGTTCAGGCTAAATATATGTTCTACCTATTTCCATGGACTCTGAAAGGCAGGTATGAGGCTAGGTCATCTGTACATCATGACTGATGCAGTGTCACCAACTGTCAGATTTTTCCCTATTCTAAAAAAGCAGTTCAGAAATCTTCATGGCCTTTCTTTACTCAAACCCCTCCACAAAGAAGTCACTGTTCATCATATATTAGTTTTTACTGTTTTTGAACTTTAAACATGCTACATCACTTTAATAAATGGAATCAAACAAAAAAAAATATGTCACTGAAAGCTGGATATGGTGGCACATACCTACAATCCCAGCACTCAGGGCTGAGGCAGGATTGCTATAAGATTGAGGCCAGCCTGAACTACAAAGTGAGACCCTGCCTCAGAAACACACACACACACACACACACACACACACAAACCCGACAAAACAAAACAAACTTTACAATGAAGGAACCTGACAAATACTACCTTAGGTAAAGGTCATGGTCATCATCAATATTGATACATCATATGCCTTCCTCATGTGATATGATGAGAATTATAGTTTATGTCTGTAGATTTCCTCCACCAAACCATAATCCCAATGTGATCAATTGGAAAAACATCCAATCCCTATTGGGACAAATCTGTGTTAGAGACATTCCACAAAAATAACTGACCAATACTTCTCATAACTGTTAAGATTATAAAAGACAAGGACACTTATGAAATTGTCACAGAGCAGAGGAATGTAGAGAGACATGGACACTCAGTGTAGTATGGTAGGTATATCCTGAATTGAGTCCTGGAACAGGAAAAGGAAACTGGTAAAAATTTAGGAAATCTAAATAAACCCTGGACTTCTTAATATGAACATCGGTGCATTCATTTTGACAGAGGTACCTTACTAATTTAAGGTGTTAATCATTTTAGAACCAAGTTAACATTTATTTGTTAATGTAGTAAATTCTTAAAAATTGAGAAACAAAACTATATATTTTTTCTTTTTACTTGCAGGTCCTTATGTTATAGCCAGTGTTGCAACGAAAATTTTTCAAGAATTAGTGGAAGGTGTTTTTTACATACATAATATGGGAATTGTACACAGAGATCTGAAGGTAAATGGGGCAACTACATCCTTGAAATTGGAGGTGACCTAATGGGGGTCACTGAATTTAAGGAGATGATGTACCCTTATTTATTTATTTATTGTTTACTTAGGAGAGTATTACTTACATAAATCAGCATTTCATAGGTTCTGAACATGTAATTCTTAGACTGAACTAGTGCTTGCTTCGGCAGCACATATACTTAGATTGAATGAACTAAAAGCAGCAATTTGGGTATATTTGAAAATTCTGTGGATTATGAATACTGTTTTACTAATAATGTGCTCTGAATGCTAATGTGATTGGTCATATTAAATGTACTTAATACAATAAAAATGCTCAGGTATTATTGCAGCCTTAGAGCCAAAATGTATTTCTGAAAAATTCTACCTTTTGCTGTTTTAAGAAATATGTAAGGAAGGGCTGAGGATTTAGCTCAGTGGTGCCACCGCCTGCCTTGCAAGCACAAGGACTCCAGTTTGATCCCCAGTACCAAAAAAAAAAAAAGAAAGAAATATATGAGGAAGTGGTGGCATGCATCTGTAGTCCCAGCTAGTCAAGTGGTGGGAAGACCACTTAAGCCCAGGAGTTTGAGACCAGACTGGACAACATAAATATATATATGGTGTCACTTGCCTGTAATACTGGAACTCTGGGAAGTAGAGACAGGAGGATAGCAAGTTTGAGCCCAGCCTGGGCAACTTAGTGACTTAGTTATATACCCTGTCTCAAAAAATGAAAAAGGGTTGGGGATATAACTCATTGTATAGGTTGTTGGTTCAATCCCCGGTATCTGCCCCCGCATCCCCTGAAAAATACACACACACACACACACACACACACACACACACACACACGCACACGCAACTATTCCAACTTTTATTCTCAATCAGTATAAAAAAAATGTATTTTATTTGGCTGATTTTAAAGTAATGTGCTTACTTTTTAGGCAAAAATTAAATCATGGAAAAAGGATTATCTAAAAGAAAATTTAGGAATACCAGAGTTAATGTGCAAATCATTTTATTTTTTGGAAAAGCTTTAAGAACCAATAGTTTGTACATTGGGATATGAAGATAATGGGTTTGGTATTTTCTGGTACATGTCTAGCCAGAAAAGGCAGTTTGAATTGCTGAAATTCTTAGGACTGAGGACCTTGGTCTTACTTGAGGAGGTAAGCTAAGTCATAATAGCAGTATATTGAGTTCCATATCTTTATTGGAAGAAATTGCTTCAGGTGATGTTTGTGTTTCTCTCTACAAAGATTTCTGATGATTTTTTTACAGATCTCCTCTAGGGGTAAAGGTTTTTGCGATAAGTTTATTAGGGCTTGCCTTAAGGAGTGGAATTCTTGTGGCATGATTCCTATAGGTAGAATTCCTTGCTTATTTGTCAGTCTCAAAGGGTAAGTGCGACAGAGTAGCCTAGCAAAAAGAGTCTTGTCTCTGAGGTTGGAACTACGCTGAAGGTACATATAAATCGGAGATTCTCCATTTCTTGTTAAAATGTTAACGTTTGCCTCAAATTCCAGCAAGAGATTGATTATTGCCTCTCTGCCTCCAACACATGCCTTATGGAGAGCTGTTAGACCTTCACAATTCTGAGCATTGACTTTGGCTCCATGTATTAGCAACAAATGGATGCAGCTCAGCCCTGCCTCTAGTAGGCGGCCTGCCTTGCTTGATGCAGTGCACACTGCCAGCATCAGGGCCGTGTTCCCCGTGGACAAAACAGCACAGTTAACATTTGCACCATGCGCAATAAGTGTTTCTGTCATGTCCTTACTCAGTATATCTGCAGCCATGTGAAGGGGTGTCATGCTGGCTTCATTGATAGCATTGACCTGTGCACCATTTTGGACCAATATGGAAAGAACTGGATGGGTCCCATATGAAATGGCCAAGTGGAGGGGAGAAACTTTGTCATTGTTGTCTGCCTGGACATTAACTTGAGCTCCATATTCACACAAGATGCGAAGACATGTTTCAGCATTATCCTGGTCTGTCAGGATCCTTTGGATTCTGTTACCAGTTTTTGTCCATGTGGTAGAAGTGATTGGCCAGTGCAGTATCATCAACTCGAGAGTGGTGAGGCCTCGTGTGTCCCTGGAAGGTATTTATCACATGTCACAGGAGATTCATTCAGAATCTCTTCATTCAGAGTTAATGCTTAAGAAGGCACTGTTTTTATAAAGTAATAATACCTTTACTTACATAATAGCATTTCAAGTTCTGTGTTGCTGCACAGTTTCTTAGGATATAATGGGTTTTGAGGAGACAGGGTAGCATGCCTCCCTGCATGATGGGCCCAGTTCTTCAGAGAAGCCTATTTCAGCTTTGTTGCTGAAGGCAAGGCCCGACCTTGCCCAGAGCCAGGCTCAGTTACTGGGCATTTGATAAAACTATGGGTATGAGTTGTTAATACCCAGGAAGTGAACCCTGAAGGACCAGGTTCCGTTTATTCAATTGGGTGACTCTGTGTCTGTCCCTTCCCTGATGTGTTCCTTTATGAGTGTAGGTAGTAGGACAGATGACAAGGGTTGAATCTGGGGATGTATGGTCATTCTGAAGTTAGTGAAACCAGTTCATCTTCATCCCCTGCTCTAATCCAGGAGGAATGAACATTTTATGGGTTCTCATTTCTCAGGGCCAATTCCAAAATTTTTTTAGGAGAAAGAAGAAGGTTTGTCATCAAAATCTGACTGCTCCACTGACATTAGGAACTGACTACACAAGTGCAGTGGGGTTTGGGATGTGTAGGGAGACATTAAGAGCAGGCCGTGCTAGTTTGGCTCTTCTGAGCAGAGTAAGGATTTGCACTGAGAAATTGTATTATTTTTATACTATATAATTCTTTTGTTTTTTTTAGCTAGCATTCATTGTGCACTCAGTGATAGACATTTGGGTTAGATGTTAAGGACAGTGTTGTAAGCAAGATAAGTTTGATCAAGCTCATCTACTAGTGGAGGATAAAAAGAAAACCTATTGTCTATTTTTTTTTTTTCATACTTAAGTTGTTAAACATCTTGCGTGCCGTGGCTAGGACTCAATACATTTTCCATAGCACTTGTTACTGAGCTCAAGGTGGAGTAATGTGGCTGGCTGTTCCTGTGTTCTTTTCATGACTTCCAGAGAATCTCATCTAGTTAGTGAAGAAGTGGATTCATTGGAAACATAGTTTGTATCCCATGACCCATGAGGAATGAACAAACCCAAATATAATGGGACAAGAAGCCTCTGTATCGCTCTCACCCTCACTTAGATGAGGATGCTGCATTAACTTACCGTACTTCGGGGTCAGCCCCATGTTCTAACAAACAAAGCAGACTTTTGGCATTGTGGTATTTGACAGCCAGATGGATGGGGATGATGGAACGTGTTTGCTGCAGGGAAACCAAAGTGAATTACAATCATATTGTATAAAATAGTATTTATGTTAGCCTGCCATTCCAAAGACCAAGTACTATAAAATAGTATTTATGTTAGCCTGCCAAAATTAAGTATGTGAGTATTGCACTGGTTCCATATTTGGTATGCTTATTGAAATTTTCCTTTTCTATTGCCTGGTTTCAGAGACCAGGGAATTTCATATTGTATAATTTATGTTTTATAGAAACAGAAACTTACCAGGGCAACAGAAATAATACCCAAAGCTTTGAAAGTTGCTTCTTGTGAAGAACTCATGGTGTAAAATTAATGGTAATTGCTTTGAAGTTGCTTAGTCCTTACATTAACCCACAGGATGATTGATGAGTATAGTTTTAAAGGCTTTGCCAGTGTCATACTATCAGCAGTAAAACCTGCAGTTTCAGGGCTCCCAGAAAGATAGCACAACATGTGTTCTGTCTATGATAAGTGGAACTGTTTATGCCAGTTCTTAAAATATATATGTAAAATATATATGTGGTTTCACACTCTATCTGTAAGATAAGGGGGAGGATGGGAGAAAAGGTGACTTCCTTCTTGAAAAAAATTAATTATAAAGGCAATAATCATTGTATAAAATTAGGAATGAAAAATATGCATTAGTAGGGAGAAAAGTAATACCACTACACAGACATAATCCCCACTAATCTATTTAAGAGCATGGTGTTAATATTCTTCTGGCCAAACAAGTTCTAGGCTTTTCCTCCATCTGTTTGAGGAGTGGAAGAGAGGTGTTATGGACCTTGGGGTACACAGGACCTCAGGGCACACTTCTCTGTGCTTGCCGAACCAGGCTCCTGAATTGCATGTTTTGTGAGGGCTCTGGGGAACTTAGGGAGTTCATAAACATTAGGTTGTGTTCTTCCCTAAGCTTCTTTTTCTAAAAGCAACAGCAGAAAAGCAGGTACCTGGCGCCAGCGTAATGTGTAGCAGATGTGGTTGGATGGAATGGTCAAAGGCTGGTCAACTGTGTGATTTCTGAGGAGTGCCTTGATGGCAGTGCAGTCTTCTTTGATAATGGCCTCATAAAGCTTAGTGTGCAGCGTTATGGCTGGGCTGTCCTCCAGTGACTCGGCACTGTCAGGCACCGGGCTTCTCCTCTTGGTTATATTTCCCATGGGGAAATGCTGTTAGGGAATTGATCAGCATCATTCTCTTTATGATGATTCTTTCAGTTTAGTTCTAGAACTGCTCTAGAATTGTGAAGAATTGTATTTCTAGCTAGGCATAGTGGTCATGCTTGTAATACCAGTATTCTCTCAGAGGCTGAGATGGGAAGATGGCAAGTTTGAGCCCAGTGTGGACAACTTACTTAGAAAGACCCCCCTCAGAGGGAAAAAAGAGAAAAAGAAAGTTGGGGATGTAGCTCAATGAAAGTCCCTGAGTTCAGTCACTAGGGCCAAAAAACAAGAATTGGAAATGAACACACTTCATTTTTCTACTGGAGCCATACCTTTCAGACTTTATTCCTTGATGTGGAGTGCCAAATATCAGCATAGATTTTTAGGTTTTCTGCTTAGTCACAAAGACATATAAACTGTCATCTTGTACCTAAGATTATATCTGTTTTCCATGTCAACTGTAGTTCAGACTGCTAAGTAATCTAAAATGGGAATTTTTACATAAACACAAATTATCACTTAAATGTGTGGGTTTGTTTGTTTGTTTGTTTGTTTTTGAGACAGGGTCTCACTATGTAGTTGATACTGACCTGGAACTAACTTTGTAGCCCATGCTGGTCTCGGACTCACACTGATCCTCTTGCCTCAGCCTCCTGAGTGCTGGGATTACAGGTGTGCACCACCACATCTGGCTCACTTAAATATGAAAACAACTTTCAACCTGTTTTTTTTTTTTGTTATCAGGGATCGAACTCTGGACCTTGTGCTTGCAAGGCAGGTGGCAGAACCACTGAGCTAAATCCTCGGCCCAAAATATTTTTTTTTATTTTAGTATTCTTTCCTCCCTCCAGTATAGATGCAGTTTTTCACTGGTATAGTCTGGGAGTGTCTTGGATCTGCCATGATAGCTTAATATTGTGACCTAATTATTTCCCACACTGGCGAATATACGAGTCATCTGTGAGCTTTAAAAATATCAAAGATGATTGTCACACAGGACAAAGATGAGTGGCTCACAGGAGGATTACGAGTTCAAGGCCAGCATGGGCAACTTAGCAAGCAGAGAGAGAGAGAGAGAGAAAGAAAAGGAAGCAGGACTGGGCGGGGGCGGTATCTAGCTCACTGTACAGAGAGAACATGCTTACTGTTTGCAAGGCCTTGGGTTTCATCCCCAGCACCAAAAACAAAACCGAGTTTTTCATTGAAAATTGCAGTCTTTGACTGTTGGAGAAGACAGTCTTTAAAAGCTTCTTGGGTGACGATGCCCTGTCAGGGTTGAGAAATGCTTGTGTATAAAGCATGTTTTACATTGATGCTTCTCAAATCTGAAACAGCTTTGAGACTTTTAAATAATAGTGTCCACCCCAGGAATTCTGATTTTCTTCACCTGGGGATGGCTTGGTCATTGAGATTTCTCTTGAACTCCTCTGATGATTCTAACGTACAGCCAGACTTGAGAACTATTGGGGCAGCTTGCCCTGAGTTGATAACTCTTTAACACCCAAGTTTTCACTATTTTAGAAAATTAAGGAATTGACATCTTTTGTTTGTTTATAGCCTAGAAATATTTTTCTTCATGGCCCTGATCAGCAAGTAAAAATAGGAGACTTTGGCCTGGCCTGCACAGACATCATACAGAAGAATGTGGACTGGACCAGTAGAAATGGAAAGGGTAAATTTTTGTTAGTGCTTTTTGATTTTTTACATTAAAAAGGAGATGTGGTTGAACATACCCGTATTTAAAGAGAGTCGTAAAAATGTAATAATAAATCTAAGACAAAAGTAACCCTTGTTCCCCTAGGACAGTGATGGCAAACCTTTTGTATCTGTCAGTGATAACAAACAGCTAGCTGTGGCACATGTGTCACACAGGTCGCCACCACTGCCTAAAGAGGTAAAGAGCCCTGCTTATAGCAAGCAGTCCTTAGTGGTTTCAGTGTTACTTATGCACTGTTTCATGTGCACTTTTCTCACCCATAGGAATACCAACACATACCTCCAGAGTTGGAACCTGTTTGTATGCTTCACCGGAACAGTTGGAAGGATCTGAGTATGATGCCAAGGTAGTAGTTGTTGCTTTTTCTGCTTTTGACCTGCTTTGTAATTTTAACAGTACTGCAAATGCAGAAGTTCTAAGTAGGTGTGTTTTGGGAGATATCTGAGTTCTACAGGTGATCCTTTGATGGAAACTCTCCTAAGAAAAAGCTTCATTTTAGCTCAGTTGGGGTAGCCCAGATCTGTAATCCTCCCACTCTGAGAGTTTAAGCCCAGCCTGGTCAGTTTAGAGGACCTGTCTAGAAATAAAAAGTGGTCCAGGGATGTAGCTCAATCCAAAGGCCCTCGGTTTAATCCCCAGTACTCTTCCATCCTTAAAGTCTCAATTTTTAACCAGATCTGACTGCATTACCTTTTAGGCTACCTCACTATTTCTAAATCCATGGATATATCGTAAGTTATTCCTGAAGTAAACTTTTAATTTAAATCACCATTCACCCCAGGAAACTAAATCCTTACAAACCTGTCTTTAGCCTTTCATTCTTTTGACTTAAAGCTTAGACAGACACATGCCACAGGGAAGCTTGCTATTTGACTCCCCTTGTAAGAGAATGAAGGTACTATAAAATTTTAATCCCCATTGAAGAAATGCTAAAGTAAATCCTCTTTTCAAAGTAACAGCATAGTTAGCTCAGTGGTTCCACTACCTGTCTGTCTTGCAAGTGCAAGGTCCTGAATTCGATTCCTGGTACCAAAACAAAACAAAAAACAACAGCCTAGTGCATTTTCTTCTTTTTTGATGAATCATTTAGTTTTTCAGTGATTGGGAAAGAGCTGCCAGAAAAGACCACAGCTGCACCTGAAAGCCAATGTAGTGAAGACTTTCCTAAAAACTTTTAGGAAAGCAGCAGATTTTACACAGAGTTTGTAAATGTTATTGAGAATGCTTAGTTATGAGTAGAGGCTAAAGTGAAACCAGAGGAAGAGCTGGAGACAGTCCCTTGACCCTGGCACGAACATTCAGGAGCTCCTATCACTCTGCATGGATCAGGCCTGAATCTAACCATGGAGTGGTTAGAGACAGCATAGGGCTGGTGACTGCTGTGGGTGGTGGGAGATATCCTTGCCCTTCACCTGACTGCCCATTCTGCAAGCTACCCCATGGGTGCTCCTGTTGGCTATTAAAGAGATGGGGGTTGCCGGACATAGTGGTTGGTACATGCTTATAGTTCCAGCACCCTGGGAGGCTGAGGCAGGAAGATCATAAGTTCTGTCCCAGCCTGGGCAACTTAGTGACTTTAGTGAGACCTTGTCTCTAAAGAAAATACGTAAAAGGTAGGCCGGGCCCCAATCCACCGCGGGAAGGAGAACCACGCCTGCTCCCGACCAGCAGCCATCGCTCAAGCGCCAGGAAGGTAGCCGCGCGGGCGCCCCTGAACCCCCACCCCCAACCCCGTGTCCCTCCCCCGGCACACTCTCAGACCTCCTGACTGTGCCAGTCTTTGGACCCACTCTGCAGAGGCAGAGGTGGTCATCAAGGGTATTTTTCTAAGTTCCCAACTTTGAACATCTTTAAAGAAAGGGCGTGGGAAACCTGTAATAGAACGTTGTGGAGTTCAACCATTCAGAAGGATGGGGAACTCAATCTGGGCCTTGCAGCCTGAGGTCAGTCAGCGTCATGGGGTTGAGCCATCAGCTAACTGAGACCAGGGGTCTTGCATCCTTGCTCTGTCTGAGCCATCAAATGGTAAATATACTATATTGAAAAGTTTGTTCACTGCAGACATGTTCTGGACTGCTTCTTGATTTCAATTTAATTCAAATG